CCATGTCTGCAAAGAGCAATGTGCCATGCCCTAACTGTAGGATGAAATGCCGATGCTGGCCGGGCACACACTCTTAATCCCATCATTTTGAAAGGATGAGGTGGGAGAGTCACTTGAGGCCAGGAGTTCAAGACCAGCGTGGGCAAAATTGAGAGACCCTATCTCTACAAGAAAAATAATTATCTGGGTATGGTGGTGCATGCCTGTAGTCCCATTTACTCAGGAGACTGAGGCAGGAGGATCTCTTGAGCCCAGGAGTTCAAGGCTGTAGTGAGCTATAATCATACCACTGCACTCCAGCCTGGACAACAGAGTGGAACTCTGTCTCTAAAGCAAAACAAAACAAAACAAAGTGCTCAGAGCTGCTTTTTCGGTAGAGGCAGTAAAAAATTCAAGAGAGGGAGTTGGTTGTATGCACCCTATCCAAAATACACTGTTATCATTTTAGAAAGTGTTTTACTGCCCACTCTAGAACCTAAACACCTTTCTTGGGAAAAGGTAATGCAAACCACATCTGAGTACTGGTCCAAACCTATAAAAGTCTCTGGGCAGGGCACTGGGCTGTCCTGTGATAGAATTCAGTGCTTCTCAAACTTGAGTGGACCTAAGAATCACTAGGAGAGCTGGAGGAATACAGATTTCCGGGCCCCATCTGCAGAAATTTAGATTTAGGTGGTCTGGGGTGAGGCTTGAGAATTAGCATTTCCAGAGGAGGAGGGAATAGAGTGGGGATGGTGAACAGACATACAAATACAATTAGAATAAATAAGATCTAGTATTCGGTAGCATAATAGCATAACTAATTAATAATATTTTATTGTGTATTTCAAGATAAGTAGAAGAGTGGAACCAGAATGTTCCTAACACGAAGAAATGATACGTGCTTCAGGTGATGGAGCTCCAGTTACCCTGATTTGATCATTGAAAATCGTGCAACTGTATCAAAATGTCGAATGTACCCCATAAATATATACAGTACTCATGTACCCATAATCATCTAAAATGTAAAAAAATTTAAGACATTTGCATTCCCATCAAGCTCCTAGATGCTGCTACTTATCAATCAATAATAAAAATTTCAAAAGAAAATAGAGGTAAACATTGGAAAGAATTTAACATTTCATATTTCAATAAACCATGAAATATGGTTTATTGCAGGGATAGTCCCAGTATTTCACCCTTCTCTTGAAACTGATCTCACCAAAGAGCCAGATCCATTTTCTGACTCCTTAAATCCAGCTGGGACTTATGACTTGTGTTGACCAATGAAATTCAGGAAGGTGGTGATGTGCTAGCCAGAGGCAAGGGCTCCAAAGGCCTCATACAGGCATGTCCAACCCACAGCCCACAGGCCACATGTGGCCCAGGACAGCTAGTTATACAGTCCCACAAAGTCTTTGAACATCATGTGTTTTTTAGCATTTATGTTCTTCGTGACCCCATGCATAGTTCCATTTTTGCAGTTTACAGTCATGCCTAACTCATGACATCACTTTTTGGCAGCACATACATCTGTGAGCAACTGTTTTCAATTATGAAGCACACAGAGAGCAAAATTCAAACAGACATTTCTGATGATCACCTTGAAAACTCTCTAAGAATTAAAACCACTTCCATTGAACCGGGCATGGATAGATTCGTTTTACAAAAATGAGGTCAAATTTCCCATTATTTTTAGATCGTTCTCATTTTTAAAAACTTTATAATAAAAATGTAAAAAAAAATAAATAAAAGAAGTCTTATTGTCTATACACTAACTATATTATATCATTTAAGTGCACATCAAGACAATTCCTCTTTACTCAGTGTGGCCTAGGGAAGTCAAAGATTGGGTACCCCTGGTCTTGTGTGTTTTTCGCTTAACTCTGGCACCCTGACATCACCAGGAGAAAGCCCAGGGTAGCCTGTCTGAGGGTGAGAGGCACGTGGAATAGAAACGGGTCATTCCAGCCATGATGGTCCAAGATCAGCCAATGCCATGATGCAAGAGCAAGCCCGGCCAAGATTGGCAGAGCTGCCACTGAGACCAGAACCCTGAGAACAAATAACTGTTTTAAGCTTCTGCATCTTAAGGTAATTTGTTACGCAGCAATAGATAACTCATACAGTATCTACTATGAACTCCCTACACTTATTTTCCAGCTTAGTCTTCTTTTAAATCATAGCTGCACAACGTTCACCATGCTATTTTGAATGCTTTCGGCCTCTAAACGTCTTTCTCCAGGTCTACTATTACCTACTTCAAACATTCAGCTTCTGAATAAAATATTACTCAAAGAAGGCATTTTGCTGCTAAGAAAACATCTAAAGATCGTGACAGGTGACCCGATCACTTTCCAAATGCCCAAGACACATGGTGGGGGGGAGACTGCTGAGAAACACCGTGAAAAGAACATGGTCAAGGGTCAAGAAGGTGGCCTTCCAGACATGCCTCATCCACTACCTGAAGGTGCCAGCTCAGGGGCAGTTTAAGAGCAACCTGCTTGCCAAGGCCAGCACCTGGACCCCCAAGACAGAAGGGACGAATCCTGACTCTGGGTGGAAGCCCCTTGTAAAAGTTTCTCCCAGAAATACCTCAAAGGGCAGCTTCTCGTCTCTTTCTGGCCTCCCACCTTGAGTCTTCATTTTATGCACACAATAGTCACGTAACAAATACCTGCCAGGTGCTCTATTAATAGATTATAACTCCCTGAAGGATGGGGATGATGAAAGTGTGGTCAGGCATGAAGGATCTGAAGCACTCAACAGCCATGGTGTGCGGAAAATCCATCCTTTTTCTTTCCTTTCTTCTCCCCCTCCCTCCCTCCAGGACAACAGCGTGGGAGGTATCAGCAGGAAGTCTCTTTACAGCTCAGTGGATGAGATTTTGGCAAAACCTGGAGGAAAGGATGAGGCGGAAGGGCAGCCATACCACAAAATGCTTTATACGTGTTTGGCTGGTGGGAAGGAACTTTTGGACGAAATTTACCCCATCAGACTAGAGGAGGCACAGAAGGGATATGTGGGTCCCCCATGTCCTCAGGATGCCAATCAGGCCTTGAACCTTGGCTAACCTTTCCAGCTAGTCTGAATTCCATCTGGTTCTTCTAAAACTCCATACTCCCTCATATCTGAACTTTGCAGATGCTGTGTCCCCAGTCTGGAACCCCTCGGTCTCTCCCACACAGTGGTCCTCCCTTGCCTGGTCTCAGCTTATGCATCACTTCTTCCAGGAAGCCCTCCCATCATCCCCTTAAGGTCTGGGCCAGGTGACACTTTGTGCTCCCACAGTCCACTGTGATTCTACAAGTATAGCTTCTGATACACTGGAGTGTATTTGTTGGTGGCTGGCTGTTTGTTTATAGACCCCACCAGACAGACACTTATGCTTTGGCTATCTGTGTATCTCTGGTGCTTAGAACAGTGTGTGGTATATAGTAGGTATTTGGTAAGTATTTGTTAATAGAGGGGAGGAAGAGAGGAAGGATAGGGAGGAAAGGAGGATAGGCGAAGAGGGGAGGGAGGAAGGAGAGAACAAAGGAGAGAAGGAGGGGGAAGGAAAGAAGAAAGGAAGGAGGGAAGGAGGAAGGAAGGAGGAAAAGAGGGAAGGAAGCAGAGAAGAAGAAGGAAGGAAGGGAAAAAGGAAGGAAGAGAAGAAAGAAAGGAAGAATGGAGGGAGGGAAGGAAGGAAGAGAGGGGGGAGGGGAGAAAGAAGGGAAGAGGCTGGGGATGACAAAGGGAGGGAAGGAGGGTGGACATACATTCTGCCTTTCAACCTGCAGCATTCAGGAAGCCTCCAAGATCCTTGAGCCCCTCTGGAGTCCTGAGCCTCTCTCTGGTGATGTCCATATTTACACTCTAACAATGACTCAGCATCTTTCCCTGGCATGTCTTTCATGATTTCATAGAAAGTAGATCTTGCCTGGCAAGGGTCCTACCAGCCAACAGCAGGGATTGTAGAACATTCACACAGTCGTTCACAATCAGCTTGCTCAAAGCTGCCATTTGATAGATGGAGAAACTGAGGCTCAGAGCAGGGAGAAGAATTTTCCCAGGTCACCTGGTTCAGTGTTATCTGTGTTAACTAAGCCTTTAGGGGGTTCTGGGCCTGATGATGTGGTTCTTTGGATCCAAAAAAGCTGAACAAAATGCGCAAGATTGTGCACGTGCTTTCTCTAAACACACAAAGGTAAGGCACAGTTATGATTCACACCTTCACCTGACTTTGCTTGGCGCTTTAGTTTGTAAAGCTTTCCTGCACATCACATTTGATCTGACCACCATCAGGTGAGGGAGAAAGGGCAGGGACATTGTACCCATCTTGCAAATGAGATAGTCTGGGATCAAATAAGCAAAAGGCTGTTCCCAAGATCACATGACTCCATCATATCTGAACATGTGCACACAACTGAAGACAGGGCTGTTTTGCAGTCTGGCTGTTCATTTACTGGACCCAGCATCCAATCTGTCATGCATATTTAGAAAATGAATCCAATTAAAAACACAGAAGTTGTGGGAAAAGATAGGGTCTCTGAGTCAACGGCATTTTGCTGAGAAATCAGGATGACCTCTGGTGAGGTGACAGACAAAATGCACAGCACCTACCAGCCCATGAGCTCTGTTCTGTTCATCACCATCTTCTATTAATGGTAGCAGTGACTGGAGTTAGCATGGTCCTTGTCTAAGAGCAGTGTTCCCAGCACAATGTTGGAGAAGCAAGGGCTCAGAGCAGCTAATACACTTGCTGAAATCCCACAAATTACTAGCAAGAATTAAATGAGGGTTTGCCTAAGGAATATCTCTATCCTTTCATCGAGTTTAATATGGGTTTTTAAAAAATTCTTAAATATTTTTTGTGAAATGGATGTGTGTGTTTTTAGTAACTTGGCCATTTTTTAAAAGATATGTAAAACGTGCTAGTTCCTTTTTAACCATCTCTCTTTAAAGAGCAAGCCACCTTGATCAGAAACAGAGATAAAATACAGTTTGTGGGAAAATTTAAGTGTCATGAAAATACTCACTGTTCTTTATCACTGAAGGAAGGCAAAGAAAGGAGAAAAAGAAAAAAATGAATAAAGTTAGGTAAGAAATCTTGTAACAATATCAACACTACCTGGATGCCACACCACAAAGTATTTGAATTATGATGACCTACTTCCATCTTTTTCAGTCATTATTGCCTTATTTTGGCACATCTAAAACAAGGCTGCTTCAGCATAGAGTTGTAAATCCATATCTTGCACTGAATTGACCAATCAGCTTGACTTATTAATCAATTGATATGATCATTTATGTATTTGAATAATTGCTTTGGAGGCACTAAAGAGAAGTCACTGAATGATCACATGACTACCATCATTTTTGGATGCTGTTATTTTTAACATTGAAGAAAAAAGACCACATTGGGTAAACAATGAGCCCTGAGCAGCAGAATTTGCAGTGCCTCAGTTTGGGGAAGCCCTTTCTTCTGTTCCAGAAAGGAGACCTGCATCTCCATTGATGAGGTGTACAACCAAACGCAGTCCTATCTTCTCCTTTTGCCTCAGTTTCCACCTCCTATTTCTGGCACTCTCTGGCTTTGAAAGCTAGATAGAAATATCCACTGTCAGAAACCAGTATTCCCCCTATGAAGTCCAACATGAAATGCTGTACCACTGACCTAACCAAACAAGAAGCAGGTGCATTCATCCCTTGCAAATCCCCCCGTTGATGGGTTCAAACACAAGCATGAGGTTCAAGGAGTATGAGAGGGGAAGACATTTGAAAATCACAAAAGCAGCAAGTGTATCTGGCCAGCCAGAAGTTAATTAAGTCTAGATTTCTTAATTTACTGGAGAAAGACATTAGAAGTGTCTGCGTTAGTTCATCACCACTGCAGCAGACCAGATAGCATGTGTGATGACTACAATTCACCCATTAGCATTTATTGGAAAATAATTTTAATATCTGAAGAAAAGGCAGTAGCAATCAAGTCAGCTAGATGCATTCAGAATGCAAAGATCCTTCACGAGACCCCAGGAGCACTTTAATGAAATGGCATTCAGACTGTTTGAATAATTTTAATTTAATTGTAAGGCAAATTGTTTGGCTTCATATTGAGTAAAGTAAACTCTGATGGATGGGATTTTAATTAACTAACATTTTTTAAATAAAGTAAATATTTTGCCCCTCTACCCTTCAGGCAACTGTTTATCTCACAGAGACATACTTTTGACTGATGAAATATTCTCCTCCTCCAGGTACGAGATTTCACAACTAGATGTCCCAGCATCCTCTCCTGAGTTGCATTACAGGTGTTCAGGTAAGCAGAAAGATCACAAACCAAGTGCTCTGAACCTCGTGTAGGGACTAAGAAAGAACTTGCTTAGCAGGGCACGGTGGTATACCTCTGTCATCCCAGCACTTTGGGAGATGGAGGGTAGAGGATTGCCTGAGCCCAGGGGTTCGAGACCAGCCTGGGTAACTTGGTGAGATCTCATCTCTACAATACATTTTTTTTAATGAAAAATAAATAAATAAATAAATACTCTCTGCAAAATAAGTTTGGCTCTAAGAAGACATCATGGAAACTAGGAATTGCCTATCAAAAGGAAGCTGACAGAGTTCAATAGTGTCTTCAAGTCGGGCTCGGTGGCTCAGCCTGTAATCCCACGCCTTTGGGAGGCTGAGGTGAGTGGATTGCCTGAGCCCGCGGGTTCGAGACCCGCCTGGGGCAGCAAGACCTCATCTCTACAATAAATCAAAAAATCAGCCGGGCGTGGTTGCTCATGCCTGTAATTCCGTCTACTTGGAAGGCTGAGGCAGAAGGATCACCGGAGCCCAGCAGGTCGAGGCTGCGGTGGCCGGGAGCGGCCACTGCACTCCAGTCTGGGCGACAGAGTGAGACTCCAACTCAAAAAAAAAAAAAAAATAGTGTCTTCAAAACTGTACAATTTATAGAACTGGAGGTAGTTTTAGGTAGAAGAAGTAAACAGAGGACTTTTGCTCTGGAGTACATGAGTAGAACAGATATTCACAAAGACTCTTCACCAATATGTAATTAGGTCCTAGTCAAATTAAAGCAAACTTTTTTTTTTAAACACAGATCTGGGATTGTTGGAAAGTAGGGGGATTCTCCATGACCCTTTTCCCTTCCAAGACAAATAAACAAAATATATTTCATCAAAACAAAAAACTTTTTCTCTTCAAAAGACTTATGAAAAAGAAAAGGTAGGCTACAGACTGAGAAAGAGTATTTTCAAAATGCATATCCAACAAAGGAATTTTAACAACTTGCAAAAGTTAATAACAAGAAGGTAAATTACGTGATTTTTTTAATGGGCAAAAGATTTGAACACACACTTCAACAAAAAGGTTACATGAATGGCAAAATTACATTAAAAATATGTCTAACGCCATTAGGCATTAAGGAAATACAAATCCAAGCCACGATGAGCTACCATCATGGATTCACTAGAATGATTAAAATTCAAAAGACTGATCATGCCAAGTGCTGTTGATTTGTCAGAGAAGCTGGAACTCTCATAACACTTCAGGTGGAAATTTAAAATGGTACATCTAATTTTGGAAACAGTTTTACAGTTTCTGAAAGCATTAAACCAGCCCTTATCATATGACTAAGACTTTGCTCTCCTAGGTAACTACCCAAAAGAAATGAAAGCATATTTCTCTATGAAGTTTTATTTGTGCTAGCCAAAACCCAAATGTCCAAATGGATACATGAATTGTGGTGTATTCACATAATGGAATACTATACAATAATTAAAAGGAACAAATTATTGGTACACAAAATGACACGGTTGGATCTCAAAATAATTACACTGAGGGAAAGACAGATATCTCCCTCCAAAAAAGCATACACATTGGATGATCCCATGAACATAAAATTTTAGGAAATGCAAACTAATTTATAGTTGCAGAAAAAAGATTGGTGATTACTTAGGGATAGGCCGAGAGGAGGGATAAGAAGGAAGAAATATAAAGGGGCACGAGTAAGTCTGGGGAACTGATGTTCATTTTCTTGATTGTTGTGACAGTTTCATGGGTATATACATATGTTTAAAAATTATCAGATCATGGCCGGGCATGGCAACTCATGCCTGTAATCCTAGCACTTTGGAAGGCCAAGACAGAAAGACTGCTTGAACTCAGGAGTTTGAGACCAGCCTGGACAACATAGAAAGACCTCGTCTCTATGAAAAAGATTTTAAAATTGCCAGGCGAGGTGGCATATACTTGTAGTCCCAGCTACTCAGGAGGCTGAGACAGGAGGATTGCCTGAGGCCTGGAGTTTGAGGTTGCAGTGAGCTAAGATTGTGCCACTGCATTCCAGCATGCTACAGAGAAAAACCCTGTCTCAAAAAACCAAAGCAAAACAAAACAGAACAAAAAATATATGTAATTTTACTTTAAATGTTTACTATTAGAAGTGCATCATTTATACCTTTATAAAACAACTTTTTAAAAAGAAAGCCCAGCAAAACTAAATCCAGGTCAGGGAGCTTTGTGCAATAAACCAATGCAAATATCAACAATACTTTCCAGAGGCTGACACTGAGCTCCCCAAAAGATAGAGCCGAGACCCCTACATGGAGCCAGAACCCACAGAAGGGACTGAAATGTTCCTGGACGAGCAGTTAGTACATTTAATTTCTGGCAGGAGCGAGTATAAATATATGTGAAGAAAAATGTTCCCAAGGTAGGTCCCAGGATTCTCACATACTGAGTGATCAAAGACGCAAGTAATTATGTGTGAAAATCTACAGGAACATCAACAACAGACTCAGCCTGTCAAGGACTCCATTCAAAGGTGGGCTGTCAATGTTTAACAACAGGCTCTGGGGAAAAGCCCCACGGTGACAGATTCCAAATCAACGTAATATCACTGAATGCAGAGCTGGGAAGAAACACACAGTGGCAAACCTTGAAGTAGTGTTTCCATCTTCAGGCATAATAGAAACAAATAAAAGGGAATGTCAAAGGGTAGTAAAACCATTTAAAAGTGATTAGTTTTGAGTACTTATCATCATTGCCTGTAATATTATTTAACTGTAAATTTATCTAATATAGCTTTCAATCACGGCTATGTTTAGCAACTGGCTCACAAAATTCCTGAAAATTTAACATTCGTTCTAATGAGATTTTATGGTACAGATCTAGCACACCACTGATTCAGGTATAAATAATTATTAGTTATAGAATGTGGAGTTACTGTATGTGAAATGTTTAAAGAAATAAGATGAGATTAAAAACTGAGCAAGGAGCAAGAAACTGAAAAAAAGGTTCAGAAGATACTAAAAAGCATGAAAAATAATTTTTAGAAATAAAAGATGGAACTATTAAAGTTCTAAATATGTCATGGGTGGTTTAATGGCAAATTAATGTGCTCTAATGATCTAATATGCTCTTACATGATCTATGAATAGAAAGAAAGACATGAAGAAATTGCCTCAAACATAGCAGAGAGGTGAAGAGATAAATATGAAAGAGCTGGGCTCCGTGGTTCAGCCTGTAATCCCACACTTTGGGAGCCTGAGGTGAATGGATTGCCTGAGCCCGCGGGTTCAAGACCCGCCTGGGCAACTTGGCGAGACCTCATCTCTACAATAAATCAAAAAGCTAGCTGGGCATGGTAGCGCGTGCCTGTAGTTCCAGCTACTTGGAAGGCTAAGGTGGAAGGATCGCAGGACTGGGCAACAGAGTGAGACTCCAACTCAAAAAAAAAAAAAAAAAGAAACATGAAAGGTCTATTACATATCTAATCAGATTTCAGATAAGGAGAATAGGAAGAACTGAAGAAAGGAGAATATTTGAAGAGACAATGCTGAGAGTTTTCTAGAATTGTTGAAAAGCATGAATTCATTGTTTCAAGAAGCACCGCATGTGGAAAAAGCGATAAGAAATACACCCTTAAGCACTTCCGAGCATCAGAGAGAAGGGCTTAAACAGAGAGACGTGTCATCCACAAAGGAAGAGCGATTTGTTGAGGGAAGACACTGAACAGACCTGAAAGCACATCCAGATCTTCCACGTCCACCTCGAATACTGCAACCTTCAAGAACAAGGGACAAATCAATGTTTGAAGCTACACAAACTCTGAGCGAGTTTACCCACCACAGAGCTTCACCAAGTGAAAGGCTGTACCTCAGGAAGAAGGAAAGTGATCCTAATGAAAAGGACTAAGATTCAGGAAGATTTGACCATTGAACCAAGGAACTGGAAAACACGTAGGTAAATCTAAAAAGCATTGCCTGTATAAAATAATGATGTCTAATATGTGGGATTCAGTCATGGATAAAACTAAGACACTAGAGAAGAATAACACGCTGGCAAAGAGGGCCAAAATTAAAATATTGGAGTGGTTTTTAGCACATTGCATCGCTTGGAAGTAGATGACGACATAGTGGTTAATTTTAGACATGGTGAGTTAGGAAGGGTAATGCTTTAAAGATAGCCATGAAAATAATAGGAACGGACTGTGTGGCTTCCAAACCAATAAAGAGAAAAACAGAATTTTTAAAGCCCCAAATCCAATGAATAAAAATAAAAGGCAAGTGAAGAAACAAAAGAACCATAGAATTAGAGAGACAAAGAAAAGACACAAAACGAGTGCAGAAAAGTGAAACTGTATAATGAATCAGCAAATTATAACCTGAAGGCCAAATACAGTCAGGCATGTTTTTATAGTTTTTTGGAGCACAGCCATGCCCATTCATGGATGTATTCTCTGTAGTTAATTTTGCACTAAACAGTGAAAGCTGAATAGTTGCAACAGAGACCTTATGGCCCGAAAAGCCTGAGATACTTACTAATTGGTTCTTACAGAAAAAGTTTACTGATAATTACAGCATATGTAAATGGATTAAAACCATTAGCTAAAAGACAAAGACTGGCCAGGTGCAGTGGCTCAGCCTGTAATTTCAGCACTTTGAGAGGCCAAAGGATTGTCTAACCCCCCAGGGGTTTGAGGCCAGCCTGGGCAAATTGGTGAGACCTTGTCTCTACAATAAATCACAAAATCTAGCTGGGCGTGGTGGTATGTGTCTGTAGTTCCACAAACTTGAAAAGCTGTGGCAGAAGGATCACCTAAGCCCAGCCTGGGCGACAAGAGTGACTCCAACTCAAAAAAAAAAAGACAAAGACTACCACATTGAATTAAACAACAACAAAGGAAACAAAATCCAGCTACATACTCTTTATAGTCTCTTATCTGAAATATTAAAAGACTAAAGGATTGAAAATAAAAAAGATAGAAAAATACAAGCTAAAGAAAGTTGATTTGCTTTTTAATATCAGACTAAATCAAATTTAGAACAAAAAAATTCATTATTAGAGATGAAGATAAGAGACCCATTATATACTGATAAAAGTTTCAATGATTCAGTAATACATATCAATTCTAAACATATAGCTACCGAATAGAACCACAAGGAGAAATTGACAAATCCACCATGACTGAAGCCAATTTCAACATAATACTAACAAGTGAACAAAAAAGCAGTAAAGCTAAAAAATATATAAACAAAATTAATAACTGTGTTGTAATGTGACTGACCTTATGAACAATAATTAGAGAATGCACATTTTTCTGATGCACTTATTGAACATATCCTAATATTTTTTACAGACTCATTGAACATATCAAAGACTTAGTATCATATAGATTAAAATGCAATTACTTAGAGATTAATAATAAAAATAATAATAAATTAAGAAACCCCAGACATTTATATATTTTAAAATGTACCTCCAAATCAATCTTGGGTTAAAGTAGAAATCATAACAGAAATTTAAAATTACATAGAAATAAGAAATAATGAAAATCCTATATGTTGAACCTTGTAGGATAACTTGAAATGGTACTTTGTGTATCACATGTTTAATGACAGAAGAAAGGGAAGGCTTATATTATTGAGGTAGAGTAGCAGAATAAACCCAAGAAAATGGAAAAGGGTTAGTTAATAAAAATAAGAACAGAACTTAATAAGATGGTAAATGACAGGACAATATTAAATAACAGGCTAAGACAGACATTTCCCTTTCAATCGTCTTCCCAACCTTATGATTACTTCAAAGAGATGGTCTTAATTGGATGCCCAACAGACTTTAATACCTCTCTCATTTGTTGAGCTTCCATTTTAAATATCTATCTGTCTATCTATCTATCTTTCTAATTTAGATTTATTTTTATTTTTATAGAAATAGGGTCTTGTTATGCTGCCCAGGCTGGTCTCAAACTCCTGGCCTCAAGTGATCCTCCTACCTTGGTCTCTCAAAGTGCTGGGATTACAGGTGTGAGTCACCACACTTGGTCCCAGGAGTTCCCTTTTTAAGAGGAGAGCAGGTCCCAGAATCAGAGCCTCTGGGAGGCCAAGGTTTATAGCTAGAATGTAGTAACATTGTTTCTTTTAATTGTTTATTTTTATGGTTACCTTTGTTTATGGAAAGCATGAACTAATTATCTACTTTGTGAACTAAACTTTCCTTGTCAAATAAATGTGTTTATATTTTGTAAGTAATCAGTTTAGAGAAAACAACAATGGTGATATTTCATAGATAAGGTAGAAATTGTGAAGGTGGAGCTCAAATGACCATTTAGGAAAATGCTGCTCTCCAGTAAGAAAAGGCCTTTGTTTAAAAGCCTCTCTAAGATGACTTAGAGGCCATCCATTCCAGAGAGACCAACAGGGATGAACAGGGAACATAAATGTCATCATTGGGCTAAGTATTGGAGACAACAAGGAATGGTGGGGACTGTGGAAAATTGGAAAGTTCTTGCCAGCCTAAAGACACTAGCTGTTATTCAACTCCTGCTGAATTATTGACATCATAAAATTTTGGTCCAGCATTATAAAGTCTTCTAATCTTTTGAAGACAGTCAGAAATTTGAACTTTTATGTAAACCCCCCAGTTTTCACTTGACCAGATCGCAAATAAAAAACACTTTTATAAGGCTGAGTTAGCCTGTGGCCTGCAAATTTGTAATCTCTGATCTAGCGCAATACCCTTGTTTGACCAATAAGTAAATTGAGACCCATAGAGGAGAAGATATTTGCCTATAATTGCACAGTAAATTAGCTCAGATCCAGAACAAGAACCCAAATCTGGTACTAACCACTAGGTCAGTTCTCCTTCCCTTGTCCCAGGCCATCTCTAATATGGTACACGAATCTCAGAAGGTAGTTGTATTCTCTGACTTTGCAGAACAGTCTGATCAGATGAGAAGTTTCCATAACAGAGCTCCTGCTAGTTTCCTTTGCCCCCACCCTAGGGAAGGAAATTCAATTTCTTTTCTCACTATCCCTTCATTTTTGTGTTTTTTTTTTAAGAGATGAAGTCTTGTTATGTTGCCCCCGCTGGTCTCAGACTCCTGGGCACAAGCAATTCTCCCTCCTCGGACTCCCAAAGTGCTGGGATTACAACTGTGAGTCATACATTCGGTCTTCCTTCCTTCTTTTTTTTTTGAGTTGGAGTCTCACTCTGTCGCCCAGACTGGAGTGCAGTGGCCGCTCCTGGCCACCGCAGCCTCGACCTGCTGGGCTCCGGCGATCCTTCCGCCTCAGCCTTCCGAGTAGCCGGAATTACAGGCATGCGCTACCACGCCCGGCTGATTTTTTGATTTATTGTAGAGATGAGATCTCGCTGCCCGGGAGGGTCTCGAATCCGCAGGCTCAGGCAATCCACTCACCTCAGCCTCCCAAAGGCACGGGATTACAGGCTGAGCCACCGACTCTCAGAACCTCAGTGACTCCGCTGACTCAGCGAGCCCCTCCCAGGAAACCCGAGCAACTTACCTGGATTGAAGGGGCTGGTCATTGGTGTACATCCAGCGGTTAGAACTGCTGCTGAGCACGGTGTCAGTCATGGTGATGGCAAGTTCTCCTGAAAAACATCAACCCAGAGAGAGTGTCACCATCCACCAGCCACTCCTGCTCTAGGCCACGCATGCTGGGGGATACAGAGGAGAAAGGGATCCTTGTCTAGATTCCCCATTTTCCAGATGGGGAACCTCGGGCCTCAGAAGAAAGTGTTTTGCTGCAAGTCACAGCTTCCCTCTGGCAAGAAATGGACCCAAGCAGAGAGCTTCCTTCCTTGAGCCCAAGCCAATGCCAATTGCACATCCACAGGGCACGAGCCGGAGGTCCCAACTCGAATCCAGAGCATGTCATCTGGCTTATGAGTCATCCCTGGCTTTGTTTTGTTTTTTAACTCGGGATGTCATTCTCACTTTGTCACCCAGGTTGGAGTGCAGTGGTACAGTCATGGCTCACCATAGCCTCAACTTCCTGGGCTCAGGTAATCCTCCTCCTTAGCCTTCTGAATACCTGGAGTCCCAGGAACGTACCACCATGCCCAGCTAATTTTTTAGTTTTCTGTAGAGATGAGGCCTCACTATGTTGTCCAGGCTGGTCTCAAACTCCTGGGTTCAAGCAATCCTCCTGTCTTGGCCTCCCAGAGTGCTGGGAATATAAGTGTGAACCACCACACTTGCCCATCCCTGGGCTTTTTTTTTTTTTGAATACTCTACATCTAAGCCATCAGAAAACCCTATTGGCTTGAACTCTCACATAGATTTAGAACCTGCCCACAGCTGTCAGCCTGCCTTACTACTATGCTGACCCAAAATGCTACCATCCCCGCCTTACTTGTGGCAGTAACCTTCTCCTTGTTCTCCTTGCCCCACTTTACTTATTATTCATGATAACTATAAAGTAGAAATAGCCTAATATTTGCTAACTGGTGAATGGGTAAACAAAATATGGTACAGCCATGCAATGCAGCTATTTAACCATCAAAAGGAATGAAGTGGCCAGGCGCAGTGACTCAGTCTGTAATCCCAGCACTTTGGGAGGCCGAGACGAGAAGATTGCCTGAGCCCAGGGGCTCAAGACCAGCCAGGACAACCTGGTAAGGCCTCATCTCTACAATAAATCACAAAAATGAGCCAGGCATGGTAGCGTGCACCTGTAGTTCCAGCTACTTAGAAGGCTGAGGCAGAAGGATCACCTGAGCCCAGCAGGTCGAGGTTGTGATGTCCATGAGCATGCCACTGCACTCCAGCCTGGACAACAAAGAGTGAGATCCTAATTTAAAAAAAAAAGAAATGAAGTGCTGACACACACTACAACCTGGGTGAACCTTGCAAGTTCAGGTGTGCTAAAGAAGGCACACACAACTTATAGGAAGTGTGCAGAACAGGGAATTCTCTAAGAGACAAAAAGTCGATTAGCAGGAGACAGTGGGGACGGAGTTTCTTTGAGAGGGTGATGAAAATGTTCTATAGTTGATTATGGTATGAATGTACAACTCTGAATATACTAAAAGTCACTGAATTGTCCACTTTAAATGGGTGAATTGTATTCTATGCAAGTTATATCTTAATAAGATTGGGGGGGAAATGGTACCATCACTTTGGAAAATGATTTGGCAGTATCTGTTAAAGTTAAACATTCATCTACCCTATGGCCCAGAAATTCTACCTAAGAAAAAAGTGCCGTTAAAAACTCTTGAACAAAGAGTTAAATTACTATTTCTTTCTTTTCTTTCTTTCTTTCTCTTTTTCTTTAAAGAGATGGGGTCTCACTCTGTTGCCCAGGTTGGAGCACAGTGGCACAATCATGGCTCACTACAACCTCAATCTCCTAGGCTCAAGTGATCCTCCCATCTCAGTTTCCTGAGTAGCTGGGATGACAGCTGTGTGCCATCAGACCCAGTTAATTTTCTTTTCTTTCTTCCTTTCTTTCTTGACAGGGTCCTGCTATGCTGCCCAGGCTGGTCTCAAACTCCCAGCTTCAAGTGATCCTCCCAAAGGGCTGGGATTATAGGCATGAGCAACTGCACCAGGCTTAATAAAAGTACTCTTGTACAAGAATGTTCACAGCAGATTTATAGTAGCTAAAAGCTGGAAACAATCCAAATGCCCATCCACAGAAGACATGATAAATCACTTGTGGTTTATTCGTACCTTGGGGTGTGGGTAAGCGGTGAAAGACAAGCTCCTGATATCCTGTACATAACACATGGACAAACTCACAGACGCTGTGCTTAGTGAAAGAAGCCAGGGCCAAAAGTGGATATGCTATGGGATGACTGCCGTGAAAGTTAAGAACAGACAGAGCTATTTGACACGACAGAAATCAGAGCAAATCCATCACTAACTCTGGGGAAAGCACTGACAGGGAAGGGACAGGAGAGCCTCTGTGGGTTGGAGGCGCCCTGTATCTTGATCTGGGTGATCATTTACCAGGTGTAGATATCCGCAAAAGCCACCAGGCCAAACACTTCAGATGTGTGCACTTTGTGTCCTTCCCCTCACTCCCTCCACCAAAAAGCAAGTCAGTTTATGTCACTCTTTTGCTCAAGAGTTTTTAATGGCTCCCCATTGCTCCTAAACTCAAATCTAACCCTCAGCACAGTTTGGCGCCCTACGGCTTCCTTCTTTTCTCTCCCCCTCCCCCTTCTCACACCCTCTCCTTCAGCCCCTCAGCCCTTCCCGCTGTATTCCTTGGGCACTCTTCCCTCTGCCTGGAACCCTTCCTGTAGATGCTGCTCAGCTCACTCTCTCCCTTTGGTTAGCTTTGTTCATAATACTACTTCCGCTGAGACACCTTCCTGACTGCCCAGTTTAAAACGGCACCTCCCCCATCTCCTCCACGCCTATCTCTTTTACTCAGATGTATTTTTCTTCATAGCTCGCCTCCCTGACCAAATGGAATATAATTTGTTTCTTTTTATATGTGTGTTTGCTTGGGGCTTGAATCTCCCTGCCAACATGTAAGCCCCTCCAAGCACTTTCTCCGTTTTGTCTGATGCTTAACTTCCAGCCCCCAGCGATGTGTAAGGTTCCTAGAAGGTCCTCAACACAGCTCTGGATGCGTGAGTGGGTCTCAGTCCCAAGTTAGTCCAGCTCAGCCAGACTTGTGTTCTCTCTGAACCCGTCTCTGCCCTCCCAAGGTCTCCCCAAGAGGAAAAGGAAGAGACCACAGAGATTACATTAATGATTTAAAAACAAACAGAAAGTGACCAGCATGTTTAGGGATCCGTATTTGCCTGCAGGTCTTTTTTGTAACATGGTCTTCTCTGAATAGATGAGCACTTGGGAGGCAAATGTGGAGTGAACCCCCTGTCCTGCCCTGCAGCCTTCAGAACTGTTCCATCTGAGTGTGGGGGAAAAGGGGGTGGGGGAGAGGGCTGGCTGGCCGTGCTGCAGAGAGGGTCCCTTTAGAAGAACTATTTGATCTGTTCCCATGCAGTTAACACAATCTGCAGTTAACACAATGTGCAGTTAACACAATCTTTCCAGATTAATATGACCATTTCATTGTTCCCACTTCAAAACAGAAAGGAGAGACAGTTCCTGTTATGAAGAAAATTTACTGAAAAAGAACTTTAATGTCTCATTATTGCCTTTGCCCAGAGCTGAGCTGGCCTCTCTGGAACCCTGGGGTCCCCTGGCCCCTGCTGGGCAGAGAGCGCCTCAGTCCTGGGTGATGAGTTGGATGGTCTGGACAGCTGGGCCTGCACCAGATGCCTGGCCTCCCGCTTCCCAGCAGAGACGAACCGCAGCCCTTGGATACCCTGGGAAGAAGGTGGGACAGGGCAAGGAGACAGTGATCATCTCCCAGGAATACTCACATACAAATTCTGTTGCCCTCAGGGCAGAGCTTGGCCTGCCCACCCCTTCCTGCATTCAGTCCCGATGACAGGAGTGGGCTTCCCACTAAAATTCCACTTGCAAAGTCCAAACTCACTGGCTGGTCGCCCAGTAGAAACCACCCAGCTCCGTCCTGCCAAGCCAGAAGCCACCCTGGACAGCCCTAATTATTTCAGCTTGGCCACTCAGGGCTCTCAGTACACTTAACATCCCAGGATTGGACTCCTTGTCCAGTGTTCACCCTGGTGTACCAGGCCTGGACCAAGAGAGAAAAATGTTTGAGCAATCAAGCCTATTTGAACAACTGGAGAAACAGGCCCAGAGAGAAGAGGCTGTGTGTCCACAGGGAGCCCTGGGATTGGGGGCGTGCAGGTGGGGGGAGCCCTTAGCTGTTGGGAGAGTAGAAAAACCCAGCCCCCTGTCTCAAGGTGGGATAACTCTGTGGCACCATCACACTCCAGAGCTCCCCATGGAGTGGGCTGAGGCCAGATTTCAGTGGAGGACACACCTCACCCAGCATCCTCCACTGCCCTGGCCTACTTTCCTCAGTCCCTGGCAGGCTCTTCCTCAGGCAGCCATGGAGTCCATCAGTGGCACAAGAACGCCCATCTCAGCATGACCTCACATGGGAGTAGACGGGAACATCTCAGGAAAGCATGGTTTCCATCCACGAGCTCGTGACGTCGCCCCTGGCAGTCACTTAGCCACTTTTTAATTGGACACGGTATGATCCTCAGGTGTTCTCCTATCTGCCTGCAGACAATGCTCCATGAAGCCAGCCAAGATCTCAGGTTTGAGGGCGAATCAACAGAAATGGAGAAAGCCTTATGGTGAGTCTCTGACAGTTTCAGGTCACGTCCCCTTTCCCATCACCCACTCCAGAGAGACCATCATCATCATAACAGGAGGCCTGAGGCCCAGGGAAAACCAGCAGAGGGAAGTCAACCATGGAAACAAAAGTCCAGATGCATGTGTCATATAAATAGTACAGGGTTCCAGCCCTAGGACCCCTACGGAAGCTTGACGTCACTGAGTGAAGAGTAGAAGCACCGACTACACTTCCTAGCACACAGCAAGTACCTGCAAAATTATTTTCCCTTTTCCTACTGCTCTTATAGTTGACTCAGCAATGACTGACATTTCTTGAGCACCTACTATGTGCCAAATCCCTCACCTACATTATTTGCTTTAATCCTTGCAATCCTACTCCAAGGTAGGTAGTATTATT